GACCAAAGAATGGAAGAAGGCTTCTTATATAACATTCCAATGTATATTTTGTCAGATGTATTGCTTCCTGAACAATCCCCACAAAGCTCAAATTGGCTGCAACTTTCAGAATTTATTTTTGCAATAATGCAGTGTTTAGAAGTAGTGTGGAATTAAGACTAAAACCATTGTAGAAATTGCCATCAAGGTTGATGAACTGAGAATGTTATTATTGATCCACTGAAACTTGAGTGCTGCCTCTATTCCCCAATATGTCAACATGTATAACAATTGCAAAGCACCTTGCTACAAATTATTACAAAAAAATTGCTTAGTCCCAATCCCAACCCTAAAATAAGTGAAGTTATATTCCATAAATATTAACAAATTGTAAGACCAAACTCCAAGTGTGTCTAAATGTTAAAATCTTAAAGTAACAGGAAAAAGAATTAAATACCATAGCATACGTATGCTTTCATCCTATTTATAAACATTACTGGCTCCTCAATTTTTGGTATACTATCCCAATTGAATGATTTCAAATTCCAAAACCTTAAAATCTAAAATAATGGGACATGAAACCATTTCAAATATGGTATTATGTTTCTGATTGTTAAATTTGTATATATGCATACTGGCTTTACATTTGGCATAAATCCACAATCAAATTTTATGATTACCAATCCCCAATTCCCATATAAACTCTGTATAAACAATATAAATCTTATACAATGCTAAAATGACCCAAAATAGAACTCTTGAATATCACATAATTTTACACCCAACAATAATATGAAATCTGTATTAAAAAACTCACAAAAATCTACAACATATTTAACAATATTCACCCTCGGTTTCAGAGTTTACAGGAAATGGTAGAGCCATGCTGATGATAGAGGTTTAGCAGTAGCTATTAAACCAAAGGCCATTAAGGTCTACAAGTTCATTTATAAAATACCAGAACAGCTTAACATGTTTTAATTAACTTCCAGTAAAGTCTGAAACTCCCAGTGACAATAACTAGTTCAACACAAAATCGAAAGATAGAATTTAGCTGAATTGCATCTTTCTGGGTTCTTTTAATATTAATAATAGATACGCTATCCATACATATACTTGTGCTTTTACAGTGCTCTAAATCAAGCCTTGATGATACATTACACAAAATGTACAAACTTAATCATTACTGGCCAATTGAAATAATACATACATGATTACTCTATAGGGATATATTTCTCACCAATCTACTATACCTTGTACCATGTGGTTCAATAGCATTTCTTGCAATTAAATAAATAAATAAAATAAGAAATATCCAAATTATGTGAATTTTTAAAAGCAATCACCTTTTTGTCAAATCTTCATGCCCAAGAGGAAGACTGCCTTAGTTACTCTTTGCATTTATGGAAAACATACATATTACTTAAAAATACAAAAATACTGGAATATTCAAACTTATGAAGAGATGACAAGTACAGCTAGCAAAATCCTTATCTAGATTGTGCGCACACTTTAAAGAGGGGAACTTTTTGAAAGGATATATACATCCTGAATGCAAGCATAAAAGAGTTCAGTATTTCAACCAGTGCCATACAAAACTGCAAAGCAGGCTCCCTAAATACTACGGGTAAATGGCATGGCTAATATAATTATATACTTAAAATTAGACTGTGAAGTATACAATATTGGAAGCTTGCTATTCATGGGCTGACACTTAAAAAGCAAACATATAAAAAATTTTAAATTATAAGTAGATAACTTACATCCATTATAAAGCCATTTTAGTTAAAGGATCTATGGTTAAGAACATTTTTATTGCCCTCGCTTTATTTTTAATTTTTATTTAACTTGCTAATGGGGGATTACAAAACATTATGTAACGCATGTCTTGTGATCCTTAAATGCAAGATAGTTAATATAAGATGTTTTAACCATAGATTTTATAACTAAAGTGTCTTTATTACAGATGTAATGAATCTTTTTATAATTTTGTCTGTGATTTTCGGATATCAATCTGGCCTAGGCTGATTTTAAACCTGCCTAGGTGATATAGAAATTCCAATCTTGCCTGGGGCCAATTTGAAATCTGCCTAAGCCAGTTTGAAATTTCAATTTTGCCTAGGACTGAAATTGCAAACTTGCCTAGGCAATTGAAAATCTTCCTTGATTTAAACCTTGCCTATGACATACAGATAGAATAGAACTCCAATGTGAAATCTGGCTACTAGTTTTAACAAAAAAAAAAAAAAAAAAAAAAAAAAAAAAAAACTTTCCAGTGAATTTGTACTTGATTTTCAACTTAAAATGCTTCTGTTTTATGTCAAACCTGTGAAGACAGGTAGTTTTATGGCAAAAGTTATTTCTGATGTTATTTTTCACTTTAATTTTAACTGATATCTTAAAACATCTTCAATAACACTTAGACTGATATTTTTGTGACCCTTGACTCTTCTGTATTTAATACTGCTCCTTTAAAAAATGAATGTTTTTTATTTGTCTTATTTTACCCTTTAAAGCTTAATTTCAATCTTCAAAAACATTGTCTGTATATGGTGCCAACCTTAAAGAAAGTTGAGCTCCAAAAATTGTCCCACTGTATGTTTTAAAACATATCTTCAATGACCTGTCTTAGCCTTGGGGCCTGTTGGACCTCCTTTGTTGCTCTGTCAAGTCTGTACAGTATTGGACAGTCCAGTGAAGTACATGGCATATTAGAATCCATAGTTCCCATGCAGCTTCCGCAGATCTGAAAAGTATAATTCCTTTTTTAGAAAGAGCAAATCTCTCCCCAAAAAAATTATTGTGTAAATGATTCTTTAAAAATTAACATTGCCTCACTCTTCAATGTGATAAAGACAAATGATGAATCATTTGAAGTTGAAATTGTTGTTATGTGGACAGCATTTTTTACTTGTCTACCTCTTATAAACTTAAAATGGTTCATAATTATGGAATATATTACATGCACTCATTGTAGATAAACTTTGCAAACTTGAAAATATAGTCACCTTCAATAACTGCTGCTGGGTCCTCTCCCACTTAAGAATTCTGCTGTTCAGCACGGTCACAGCTGTCTGAGGGTCAGTCTGGCACTGACCACACACCCCCTGCTTGGTTAATTCCCCACATACTGGACAATTAATATTGTTGAAATACTGGGAGATTGTTCCCTGGAAAAATATCAAGTTTTTCTTTGAATCAATTGCCAATGGTTAGTAAAATCAAAATCTATATATGTACATCAGGTATAGAAGAACTCTGTCATAAGAAATATATATAAAATATACGTAAAACACCTGAAGAAATTAATTCTACAAAGAACACTTCTAGCAGGCAAATTAATCTCTAAATCAAATTCATCCTAACCTTCTTTGTATCACTTGCAATATCCATGGCTGGAGCTGCTCTAATCACTCTTGGCAAATCTTGATACCTAAATGAATTAGATTACTGCGGACTTTATTTCTGTAACATGTGTGTATGTGTGTGGTTGTGTTAGCGTAGCGTGTTTGTCTCTAGAAAACCCAACCTTTCTCATTTCGGGACACATTGCCTTCACACGTGTCGTACACATTTACAGGTAAATACGGACTTGATTAATTTGCTTTTTGTTATTTATGTTATTTAAGAGTTTAGTTTAGCTTTATTTTGTTATAAAAATAAGTATATTTTAGTTCGTTTTTCATGTTATTTCATCTCGAATGTGTTTTATTTCTTTTCAGTCTTAGTTCATCTTATTTGTTCTGTTTGTTCTTTTAAATTACTTTGAGACATTTGCCCTCTCACATGTGTCGTTTACATGTAACAGGTCTGGCAATTAACAAATTTATTCTAAAATGTTCTCAAGTCATTTACAAGTTGCGGATGCTACTGTTACATTTCTATTACAGAAATTGATTTTAAATCATTTAACAAGAAAAAACTTAAATGAAGACCCTCACAAAATGCCATTAGAAATTAGTGTTCAATAAATATTGCTAACTTCCGTTGAAAAAAATTCTCACAATGTGTTCACAACTTATCAGAATTGATTATATCCTGTAACGATAACTGGATTCTGAAAATCAAAGTCAACTTACCTCCAATTTGCTTTCACAGTGTCAAGGTATAGCGTATAACATATAAGACACTATTTCAATCATCCTACAGCATGCTTCATTATGCTATTCACTTACCATGAAAAAACATCTACCCCAATCAATGAGAACAGTCTTGCCAGTGGGGGCAGAATTTGCTTGGTGATGTAATAGACAGCGTTGAGGCGTAGACTGGAGTCTTGAAGAACCTCCACAGGGCTACGTACTAGCTGTATCAGTGGAAGACCTGGGCTGCCGTATACAATAACGTAGGGAACTCGCTCGCCCACCCTGGGTTCACTACGACGATCAGCTGCCAACATTTTCCTATCAAGTTTTACAAAAAATTTTAGTGCCACATCTAGATCTACTCAATGTATCAATAGGAAAAGTACAGACATCATGAAAGCTAGGAGTGCAAAAAATCAAGTATATTCAATATACTTGATTTTTTATCAATACTTTTTGAAACAATTATTGTCTTGCTTATATTTCTATGTATAAATAATTAATGGTACAAACTGGAAGTACAATAGCTTGACTGACATGTATCAACTTGTTACTCTGGTTTAATATTGGATTTTTAGTTAACTGCAAATCAATGAGATTCATAAGTATACTTGTGTTATTGCAGTAATAATATAGTGGTAAAATTACACATGACCAATAGGACAAACATGTCACAAAATGATAGGATTATGCATAATAACAATGTGAATAAAGTGGCAATATAACCACTGGGGGAATTTACTTTGACAGTTCCAAAGCTGGCACACAAGCCATTGGTTTGTAGCCTGCTTTTCCTCTGTACTCTTTGGCGAAGATCAAATCCTGCATGCTGGCCTTTCCTTCCATCACCTTTACACATTGCTTCTGCACATACTGCTTCACCTGGGAAACGTCGCGGGTGGTGAAGAGAATCTTGATGGATCGCTCTAGTATCTAAAAGATAAGACAGCATACCTGGACACTGTGCATGCACTCTTTTATGCAGGAGAGAATTCTCCATGTATTTCTCCTGGATTTTAAGGACCAAAAAATTTCTAGTGGATTGTTTATATCTCACCAATCTATGCTAATTGTTATTTGATTGTTCACAAACATCTGGCTTATTATTATTATTATTTTTGCAAGTGGCCTCCCAAAGTTCTTCAAGGCAATGAGTTGAAAAATAACCTACTGCATTTCAACCCACCAACATCAAAATTCTTTATTTAAATGAAATTGTAACAAGTACAATTTAGGGATGGGGGAAGGGGGGGGGGGGGGTTGATTGAACAAACAATCTTTGTTTATTCACCTTTGACACTGCACTACAGGAGTCTCTCCTCACAGTCTCGATACCCTTGGCATCAAAAACTGGTTCCTTCTGGTCTACTGTCTCGTACATGAAGCCCACATACCTTTTCTTTGTCTGAAGAACACATGGCAGATACACCTGGAAAAGAGGATATAAATTTTTTTCAAAGTAAATATACAGTGAACAATCATTGATGTCAAACTAAAATGCCATAAAACACACTTTTACAAAGAAATCATTTACAATATTTTCTACATGGTGTCAGTTATAAAGCAAGGAAATACAAATCAATTTTATGAAAAAACAGGATTCCTATAAAATAAACCAATGACACCATAGTTACAGAAACACTGTATGTTAAAAAAACATGAAACCAATACACCAAAGTAAAATACCTTTTCAAATTTAAGTTTGATAGGTTTGGGATTGGCAGCAGTGACTGCATCTGCAATTTCTTGTCCAATTTTAAAAGCTTGCTCTTTAGTCCTTCCTTTCAGCAATATGAACAAGCTGTCAGTGTCTCCATACACCACCTTGGCTCCCCATTTTTCAGTCTCCTCTACCATTTGGATGGCTCTTTCTAAAGTTTCTCTGGCCTTGCTTACAATGCTGTCCCCAATCTAAAAAATAAAACAGAAGTATGTCCATTTTACAAGAACCTGCAAAACAACAGATGAAGTGACAAATGATAACAGTTCAGTTATGAGCAATATGTCTGGTTACTTAAGCCAGGTCTCAAAGAGAATGTCATGCAAATAATCCACGTTCAATTGTCTACCAGATGAGTAGTAAGTAAAATATACTAAATATCAAAAATTAAACAAACAGTAATATGGATTACTGAGTATAGAGACACTGCTCCATTTACTGCCTATGCAATGACAGGGTGAATATCTCCTACTCACTTCCACACAAGGCATTCTTCCAGAAAAATTAGCCGAGGTGTAGCCAAAAGTAACATTTGCAATCAGTTTCAAGCCTAACTGTCTGGCATTCAGCAGTCTTTCTAAAGCCTACAATACAAGATATACATTTATCAAAGAAACATCATTTAAAAATCATAAAATTTATTCAAGTAATAAATATAAAGGTAAATCCTCATAAAGAAAGGAGTTTCAAATCATTTCGAAGCCTTCATATTTATAATATATCCAAACATATGTTAATGATGAATAATTTTGAATATCCAATCTTACTTGGGACAAAAACATACAGTATCTTTTACTTTTATGCCATATACTTGCCTTGTCCCCCTTGTGTTTCTTCATTGCTTTTTTCACCATCAGTCTTGTATTCAGAATTTCCTCTACCATACTGTAACAAACATTCAAGGTTCAGTAATATTCTTTGATTATAGTAGATATGTGCATTTTCATTTAATACATTAATAACCCTTATCAATACATTCTGTGAATTTTCAGACTAGCATCAAAAACAACAACAACAACATCCTCTAGGACCACATTTGGTTGAAGGTAACATCAAAAAACTTTCAGAAAGAGACTTCTTTACCTGGATATGATCCCTTTCCTCACATCTGACTGGACAAAAGCAACTCCACTCGGAGAAACAGACACACTGTTCTTCATTTTCTGCAAAATAAATAAATAATATTTACAAATACTGAAAAGAATCTAGTTGTAAATATAGGTAACTGAAAGAACTTTCAACTATTTGCTTTAATATTGAAAGATACCGCATAACGAACAAGTGGATAAAGTGATATTTTCATTCTACAGACAGTTATGTAATATTATTCAAGATGTATTAGAATGTTACCTTTAGAGTTGATGGTGTAACCCTCAGAGAGGTGCAGCCAAATTGAAACTCTCCCTCACTGGAAAAAATAAATACCATAGAGTACCAAAGGATCAAAGATACTACATACATTTTTCTTACTTCATTCATTCGTAATACTTCATACAACAAATGGTCTAAAATATATCCTTAATAACTGTGAATGTTTATCTGGTTTAAGCCTTTATTTCACCTTGCTATAAAAATGCAAGATGCAAGCCACTACTACTTCTTTAACTGATAATAATAATAATAATGGAAGGAATTAATGTTTGTTCATCAGAACTCAAATTTAGTAGTGAGAATAACTTCTAATAATCACACATATCAAAAGCAATTTCATGCATAAAAAGGATAGTAACATTTAAAACTACTACAAAATCTCAGAGCACTTAACTTACACTCCATCAACCAATATGACAAGAAATGGGGAGTGATCTTTAATATTTTGGGCATTTCTACAAAATTTCTGAGCACAAAACTTACTTTGCATCAACCAACTTATCCACTCTGCCCATACAAGTGGAGTAGCAGTAGTTGTAAGCAATCATTATAGAAGGATAGAGAGACTGGAAGTCCAGCACCACAACTGGGTGACTATAAAACCTGGACTCTGGCTCTAGGGTAAGTGGAATACACTCTGGTGCCTTCATCTTTGCCCTCTGTTGAACGCTGGGGGAGACAGCAACATAGTTCATTGGTTTGGCTAGTCTCAGCATCATAGACTCTACACGATACTGAAAAATTATGAAAATACCTGTTGTAGCATGATCACGCAGGCCTGACACATATATAAAAGATGGGGTTATACTCCTTGCCTTGATACAATATGCTAATGATAGAAATATTATTTCTAGTGTGTTTAATATCTTATGTCAAAATTTCAAAAATATTTTACAACCTTCCTTCTGATTAAATTTAAAATACAACTGCAGTAAAAAACAATCTTTGTCTACTTGTTACATTCAAATCAAATTAAGCATTCCTTTTTCTCCAATTATGCTACTAACCTGAGAGCCCCTTGACAGCACATGGTAGAACTCTATACCAAACACCCTGCCAAATTCACTGGTTTTCTCAATAAGGTCCAGCTGCTGCATTATCTCTATGTTTCCTTTAGTTCTGGTTACATAGTGAGCAATAGTCCTCCATCTGAATCAATCACAATTTAGTATAATGAAGTTTACACCTTAAGAGTGCAGCTGCTTCATTTTATATTATTTCATTATTTACTCATTCAGTTGCATATTGATTAATTTACTTATTTATTCACTTATCATTCTTTTGTTTCCTCAATTTAAGTTTCCTTACTTATTTTGTAAATTAATTTTTTTTGACAACAGAAATTGGCCATACTCTCCTTCAGTAATAAGATTTTATAAGTGAAAAAAAAACACAAAAAACATACAGCAGGACAAGTATTTATGTAAGTATTACCTGTACAAATCTGTCCTATGTCCATACCAAGATGTCAATTGCTTGAAAGAGAAACATGGAATTCTTCTATGAAGTACATGGAATGCAATGTTCTCAAAAGAGTAGATATTCAAGGTCACCTGAAATAAAAGTTGGATGAATTAATAAGATTTGTGTTTGGAACATTCAATTTGATTTTTATTCTACATTCTGAAAATGATGTCATAAAACAGTAAGTAATTAAGTTAATTATAAAAATTTTGAAAATTAAGAAAAAAAATCCACTTGAAGAACTTTGTTTGGAGAACCATGGTATAACATTTTTCTTTAGACAAAACTGATTAGCCAATTAATGAGCAGAGACTCATTTGCTTTTGAACGTACGATACCTAACTGGAACCGCAGCTAAATTTCCTTTCAATCATTAGAAATTTCAAGCCATTTTGTTTGGCATCTCATATTATGAAGCTAAATATTAAATTCAATCAGAATACTGTCATGAAATATCAGAGGTACATAATATATAGTATATCTACCTCATGTCTAAGAATCCTCCATAAATTCAATACTATCCTCCCAGCAATGTGAATTTCAGAGTTATAATCTGCTCCCCACTCATCTTTCTCTGCACTGAAGCTACTCCTTTTGTCTTCACCTTTGATAAACAAATAATATGCAATCTGTAGTATTCAGTGAACTGTGACCAAAATCATAATTAAATGAAAATCTGGTTTTGAAAGCGTTAATTATGTTTCATTGACAGTGTCTACATAATTGTAGAATTGTTGTGAACAACTTAACTTGAGAAGCTGCTATGTTTTGAAAAAGTTGTGTCTTCATAATTATGGAATTCATTGTTGTAAACTACTATATGTGAGAACCTGGTATATGTTGAAAAGGTTCATTTTTTTTTTACTGGCAGCCTTCTTAATTGTGGAATTCATTGTTGTACATTATAATACCTGGAATTCTAGATATCAGAGAGCACAGGTTAACTTCCAGGTGGGCAGCCCTCTGCAAGAGGTACCCCCATGACAGCATCTGGATCTCAAAACCAACCAATATGTCAGGATCCCATCTGAAAATTGGAGAACAAAATAAAATTAATGTGCACTGACTATATGGAAGGAAGTATGGTGGTTCAATTTTGTGAATAGTTTTATTAGATTAAATGTAAAGTTAAAGAAAAATGTGATGTTAATAATAGTGGTAACTGATTAAAAAAAGCCTGACATTAAAAAAATCTATCAAATTATCTTTTATCTTACATTGGGAGTTTCTGAGAGCCTGAGAAGAAGATGCATTATTCCAGTATAAGCACACTTACTTCCTCAAAAGCTCCAGAAACTTCACAAATAACTCTCTCTCATCCTTCACATAGGACGTCTCCATCAAACTGACTCCAGACTTCTGTAACAATGTCTTCTCCCTGTGGCTCAACTTTCCAGTGCTTGGGCCTGCCGCATCTGCCGATAGTCTCCGACCTTCATCTTGCTCCAAACTGGCCGAAACTGGATCCACAATAATGACCCCCGTTGATGTCCTTTTCTCAGTCTCTGTGGTGTCATTAAGAATGTGATAAAACACTGAACCTATGGCATCAAATTCTGGGTCTGGTCTAAGATCCCCTCTGGTCCAGATAAAAAGTTCCATGCTCATGACTGTCAGATGTTGTACCTGTAATAAAGTACATAAATACATAAGATGTTTCCAAATTCAATTTGCAGTTTTTGTTATTATTCATTAACTTTTTCTCTAAAAAATCACAATCAACAAATTCATTCAAAATGTAAGGAAAAAATTTATTGAAATTTTTAATGCGTCACTGAAATTAAAGTGTACAAAATATGTATTGCAACTGGTATATATAATCTTTTTTCTTTATTTTTTCTTAAACTTTACCTCATGCACAGCTTTGGCATCTTGTAAATTCTGAAGACTGACTTTGAAACCGTAAGTGTTGTTGGGAGAAGGTCCCTCAATTTGAGAAACAATTCTCTGGTTGAGAGGGGTCCCTGCAGCATTCTGGAGAAAACAAAAACATCATGCACACTTAAAAAAGCTTCAAGGTCCAAAAAATATAGAAATATTCATGTTCTATATTGCCTTTGGTGAGGCAATGTTACATTGTTTCATGACACTAATATCAGAGCCTTCAGTAAATCTAAAAACTTATTGGTTTAAATGGTTCTAAAGTTCTTGCCATGATCATAGAAAAAGGAAATTAAATGCTGGTCATAGATTTCAGTGAGATAAACAAACCTAAATAATGTGTCAAATAATGGTTTACCTTCATCTGACTTGACAACAAAGTCTTTCTCAACAAGTTCTCAGTTCCAGTTGACAGCCGTCTAATTCTTGATAACTTTCTCGCTGGAGTTGCTGCTGAGGTAGAGGGAGAATCATCATTTCCAGTTTTCATCTTCTCACCTACAATTGGTGTACAACTTGGAACCTCAATGTCAATAAATGAGGCCTTTTTAACTGGTGTACTGTGCTGTAAACTGGAGTTGGAATCTTCAGACACCTTTCTTTTCCTACTCTGAGGTATTGACGGAGTGCTTGTAGAAGGTGTAACATCATCTGAGAGTTTTCTTTTTCTGCTAACAGATGGCGTCGCTGTGCATGCTGACAGAGGTGGTGACTGGTCCCACCTTGTTGGTGATTTCAATCTTGCAGGTGGGTTGGAGATCTCTTTCTCATAACTGACCGATTCTACATCTTTGCTATCTGAAAGTGTGCGTTTCAGGTAGACAATTTTCACAAAGTCTGGTTTTGATGTTTTTGGCATAACATCTGGTCCCTTTTCATCAATTGCAATTTCACATGACTCAGATTTCTTGTCAGAGAGAGAGGGTTCCACTTTTGTACTTTCACAGGGGTCTGTACTCTTTGGAATCTTTTCTTCTTTTGCACCTTTACCATGAAGCCATCTCCTCACAGACCTGACATTTGGAGGTGGCCTACATGGAGTCATCACCACTTTAGTGTTTCCATGCAAACTTTTCTTCAGTTCAGGATTTTTCTTGATTTCATCAATCAAACTGAAGTCATCACCCTGAGACAGGAACTCTTGACCTGAGAATTTTGATGCCATTCTGAATTGCCAACCTTGTATCATGGTGATGGGTAATTCAGTTCTATAATCTGGCAAATCTGCCACCTATAAATATCATAATGCGCAAGTTATTATAAAAAGAGATAGTTACAGACACTACAGGTTATATTGGCAAGTAAAAACTAAATTTCTTATCTACATCGTTTTTATATATATTTATATAGTAAATATTTATTTATTTAGGAGGTCCACAGAGGTAACAGAAATCTCAAGCTGATGTGTCAAAGAGAGGTAATATTTTATAAATTTACCAGGGGTGACTGCAGTTTCAACACTCTGCCTCCAAGCTCTCTGAAAATAAAAATGGAAATATGCAATGATTTTTCAATTTGCCCAATAGTCACTTGCGCTTTCTAAGTTCAAATTCGGCACCACGACAATTTTTCAAACAAGCAATTTAGTAGCTTTCATATTTCTGACTTCTAACAACTTATTACGATTTTAAGGTGTACTGTCACCTTGTATCATACTTATAAACCTAGATTTGTTTTAATGCTAACAGCCATTTTATCAATCCGATGGATGTTCTCAAAAGTACTTACTTTGGTTTTTCTGGCATGTCCTGAGGTACACTACAATGGGGGTCAACGACCTGTTCTTCTCCAAGATCAAAGCTGACCAAAGACTTAATAACCTCATCCCTGCTCGGTGGAAGTCTGACTGGTGTCAAAACAGTGGCAGATCTCTGGCAAGTAGGGTTGAACTCCAGTCCCTCAGAAGTGCATGCAGCATCTGTTGGCTCGGGAGCTGCTAATACCCCGAGATTATCTGCAGGTGTGTCTCTATCTTTTGTCTGGACCTCCTGTGACATTGCACCCATTACAACACTGTTGCCCTGGTTACTTAAATCATCATTGTCCTTGTGGTCTGGTAAGTCACTGGGACTGTCAAAGCTGTCACCATACAGGTCAGGGGAGGTGACAACTTTAGCAGGCATGTCACCTTCAGGAAGATGGACATTTGGGTCCTTGTCACAGCCATTTCCCAATACATCAGTTTTTCCGACATGTTCTTTTGTAATGCCACTCTCATCCTCACCATCAAAATTAAGCTGTTTTGCCTTCAGTCTATTTACAATTGAGTTGAGGTTTTTTAATCTTGGTCTTCCACGAGGACTGGAAGGAGAAACCGAGCCATTCACAGGAGAGGTGGAAATCAAAGAGGATTTGGGCAATACAGGTGTAGAATAAGATTGAGGTATTTCATGGGGAAGTTGCCTTGATTCAGTAAATTCATCTTGATCCTGAGCTGGCAATTTTGCAGTTTGATCCACCTGAGTTGTAGTGTTCTGTTTAAAAGGTGTGTGATTTACTGTTTCAGTTTCTTCAAGAAATGCATCTTCGTCATTGATTGGTGTAGAGGTATCAAAACCTGTCTCTTTGCGGGACTCAGATTTGCCCATGCTAAGATCCATTGGCTTTGACTGTATAGTGTATCTTGTAAAAAATTCAGCCATGCCATCTAAACTTTTGACATCAGTTTCAGAAACATTATTCCCAGGTTCAGATCTTCTGTTGGAATTGTTTGAAACTTTTTCTCTTTCTGTTGGTATATGTTCTGTAGAGTGGAATAGATTTTTCTTTGAGGACAGTGTCTTTTTGTTTACAGCTGTCAATTTGACCTGAGGGTTTTCACTTGCTGCTGAGGTCTGTGAATTGGAGTGCAGGTCTTTTTCACTGCATTTTGATTTACTGCTACATGGAGAAAGACTTCTTACAAGCACTGGAGCACTACATCTGTTTGAAGACCCTTCAGAGGCATGAGAACTTAAGAAACTATCATTACTTTCTTCGCAAAAGGGAGACCCATATGTAACTGAAGATCTGGGTGAGCAAGGTTCATCAAGAAGGCTTTCACTCATTTCAGAATTTAGGGAATGTTGACTTTCTTCACTCCCAGGAAGTTTATTGCCTTTGTCCAAAGCACCAAAAGTAGATGATTCACAAGAAGATTCCAAAACTATCTGAGAGCCTGTGGTGAACAACCTTTGATGATTTTTCACTTTTTCATTTGGAGTTTCTGGATACGAAACAGAAGGCATCAATTCTGGTGGCCCATTCTCATTATCTACAGACTGCTGTGAGTCATCGGCATTTGGATCTGGTTGTGAAGGGCTTAACGTAGGTGGTGACATCCTTGATCTCTCATACTCAGCACTGTGCTGGCTAGTCCCATCTGGTTCATCAGAAAAGCTCACCAGACTCTCATCTGTTTGTGGGACCAAGTACGGTATTGAGGAATCAATGACATCGCCAATGCTGCTATGGGTGGAATGTCTGCTCCTCTGCCCACAAGGTAGTTCTGAACTTTCACTGCTGTTGGAGCTAAGAGATGAAGGTGCACTTAGCCAATGTTCAGGGGATTTGCAGATGGGAAGAGATCCCTCGTAGCAAAGTGGAGAGTCCACAGTTGCATCTATGGATGATCTTGATTTGAGAATCTCTCTGGGTTTTCGCGGAGATACAATTGTTTTTGACAGCGACTCTGCTGATAATGTAGATACTGTACATGATTCAAAATTGTTATCACAAGTGATAGAATCTTTCAATTTTATTGCAGAAATGTGTCCATCTCTTTCGATTGTTTGTTGAGTATTGATTTTACTTTTGTCTCTGATATCATCAGTTTCTTCAGGTAAACTACACGGGGACCACGGTCTTGGAGGGCTTCGGTTCCCTTCTTCATCCACCTTTGGTGTAAAGTATGACATCTTGTACAGGACATCATCGTAAGAGGTTTGAAAATCATCTGTGGTGTCTGTATAAGAGGGCAATTTTGACACTGGAGTATCATCAGGGGGTAGCAGAGATGGCAAGACAGTCCCATCTTGACTGTTTCTAAATTTCAGTTCAATATTATGAGCATTTCCACCTCTTTTGTTCAGCTGGTTTGTGATCACATCCCATGCGCTACTAGGTAAGTTGATATCCTTAAATTTTCCAGATGCTCCATTGTGATATTTTCGTTTTTTGTTTGAGCCATGGACAGAGGCACTGTTGGCACGGAATTTTTCTGCCGTGATGTACTTTCTTGGGATGCGACCAAGATTTTTGTGAGGAATGATCCTGGGTTTTCCAATTCCTTCCTGGTTCTGGTCCCTCAAGTTTGTTTTCTGAATAAAATCTTTAGCATTGACAGTTTTACTTACTCCTATATGAAGTTTCTCCACTGCCACTCTCAACTCTTTCACACCTTTGAATTTCTTTACCAGCAAAATCTTAATAGGTGGCACTGCAGGTTTTATTGTTCTCTTACTGGTCATTTTTGAAGTTGGCCTGTTTAATTTCTTAGCAGCAGCAATTGATGTTTTCTCTCTAAAGCTACCTGAAATTGATCCAAATTCATAAAAGTCACTATTTGCACCAAACTTGAGTTTTCTTTTCCTCTTTCTTTGACTTCTGCGGGATAAAGGAATATCTTCATTTGTGAAAATATAAGACATATCTTGTGGGTTTGGAATTCCAACTGGGCTTTCAACTAGTTCTTCATGTTGAACAGATTCTGAGCTCTTCTCATGATTAGGGAATTCTACCGTCTCCTCTAAAGAAGCATTTTGTCTTGATATTGCTTCTGTAATTGGTTCCAACTTTTTCTTTTTCAGCTTTAACATGCCTTTCGTCCTACTTTTCAGGGTAGTGTTATTCCCTTTTTGTTGTAATACTGGTGGTTTTTCTATGACCTCATTGTGATCTGTTGTGGGTAAAATTATAGCAGGCCCCAGTTCAGAAGTGTCGTCTGCTCCAACCTCCACCATCTTATCTCCATTTAAAACACCACCAGGAAAAAGTTCATTGTCTAAAGAATCTTCTGTTTGCTTCAAGAGAGTAACATTGTCAGATAACAATGGAGGCTTAGACTGGTCTTCCTTAGTTTCTGTGCCCAAAATGGGTTGATCAGTAGCATCCATTTCTGGGGACAAAAATATTCTGGGAGAGTCCATCCTATTACATGTAACACTGGCAACACTCAAGTTGACATCATGAAAAATTACCCTCCCTATTTCAACCATTTTTTCTTGCGGTTCAATGTCTGTATCATTGGATGGTGCAGATTCCTCTGACGCCACTGAGCTGGTATAATTTGCATCATCTTTATCGATGGCATCATTGATATTCTTTTCAATAATATCTATGCTGGGTATAACGTTTTTGTTCTGAGTCTCACTGACCATGCTCTCAGTCTCATCTGCTCTCTCATCCTTGTTTTCTGCTTTTGCTTTTAAATCTGGACCTTGCACAGGGGTTTCTTCATTGAAATAATCAAGTTTTTTCGCTTTTGACTCCATCACACTTCCTGAGGTTTCTTTCACTGAAGAATGTATATCTGTGTGTACCATTTTGGTTTCAGAGCTAGAATCACACGCATGGACTTTTTTCTGAATATCTTGCCTTGACATTTTTCTCAGTTTTAGCCTCTCTTTTCCAATCTTTGATATGTCAAATCGAGTGACCACTTCTAAAGGCACCAAAACATTATCACAACCATTATGCATTGAGGAGGTATCACAAAAAGAGTTGAGGTGTACAAATTCGCCTGTCTTAGATCCCAGAGATACATTTTGCATAGATTTGTGATTATTATGACTCTCGGTATCATAGAAACGTTTGAGACTTGTCCCCGTTTTCTGCTGCAGTGTAGGGGTTGTACTGCCATTGTCATCATCTTCTTTATGGTCAGAAAATTCTGCTGGTTCCTCAAGAGCTGTACTAAACCTTTGAGTGCTATTCAAAATCAAAGAGTTACTGTGTAAAATACTGCTGTCCCAAAGTCTTTCTGCCTGGTCTATCCCTTTACTAGTCCTTTTTCGTTTCTCTTCAAGTTTTTTCTTCAGGGATAATTTACTCCTTTGTTTAGTTCTTGTTTGACATTCACCGTTGCTGTCCTCTCTCTGCATGTCACTTTTAGAAGGGGATATCAGATCTGTTTTAGCTTTTAACTTCTGAAGTTTCTTTCTTAGTTCTGTAATTTTTAATGGACTTGACTTGAAATCGGTTGAAATTTCATCCTGTGTTTCTCCCAGCAAACTGTGTTCCTGTTGCTGTTCCTTCTTTGAGTATGTGGCAAACACTTTCGGCAAAACAAGCCTGGTTGGTGAAACAGATGATGATCTGGATTTCACACTTGCCGAATCTGAGTAAGGTTTCATGGGCGAGGATATGGCAGTGTCAGAGTGAAATAAATCATCGCAGCCCACGCTGTCTAAATATGGCGCATCCTCATTGTCCGACCCCAAGTCCACAGTCGTTTTATTGGGAAATGGCAATGAATTAAAATCTGAGTTTGGTGAGGGACTGCCATCTCCAGAGCAAACATGAGATTTTTGAGCAAAAGTTGACAGGTTCTCCTCCCTTTGCACAATGGGATCCTTACTACTTGTATTGGTAACCACAGTCTTTTTCGGTGTAGTAAAATTTGGGAAATTTTCTGTTGGTCCTTTATAATTCATTTTTTCAGTTAATTTTTTATCTTTATTATTGCACTTGTCATCCACTGTTGCAGAATGCTTATCCTCATTAAGATCAGGAGGACTATTTGGCATAAATTCCTCATAGAGATCTTCAAAGGACTTTCTGTTCACCATTCTTGTTAGTTTGGGAGGTTCTAATTCTGCAGAGCAAACAGCTTTCTTTTTGTTTTGTAAATTACATCCATTCTTTTTGACAGGAAAATATGTTTTTACTGCTGAGCTGCTGTCTTCTTCAGCATTACATGTACCATTTTCAATCTCTCTTCCTCTGTCATCATGGAGCCTCTGTTGCAGTACAGTCCTTTGGGAAAGTTTAAGGTCACTTTTTGTATCACTAACTTTAAATTTGTCAGTCTCACTTGTAGACTTAGTATTTGGAAATTTGGCTGTGCTTTCGGCATTTTTCCTCATCGCATCAAAACTCTCCACTGTATAAAGACCACTTTCACCATTGCTACTCTGACTGATAGTCTCAGTTGGTGAATGCTGATGAACAGTGCTTGGTGGTTGTTCTATTCGCCTGGGACTTTGGTATGGGGGTGAATTAGGTTTGGGTGAAATAAAAGGCCTCACACGACTTCTCCTTCGCTGACAAATTTTTCCAGCATTAACCTCCTTTATGCCTGTTGTGCTTGAATTTTTAATATCAGGGACAGAGACTCCTGTGTCTTCCTTCGAACTAAGAGGACCTTGTTCCTTAGATTTCTGCTCTGGAATATTCAAAGGAAGTCCAGTCTCTTCATTAGCTAGCCTTGGAGCTTGTAAATTAAGGTTCAAATTTTTCTGTTGGGGCTTCATTTTTGTGTACTGCTCCTTTCTGAAATCATTCAACACAACATGGCACTTGTGAACAGGGAGAGGAATTTCTCCAGGAGAAAAAGAGTTTCTCGTTTCTAATGATTTGCTGGCACTGATTGTATATGTCAATGGGTACTTGTTTTGACCACATGGAAGGACGGGACCTCTGGGTCCAAGTCTTTTCTTTGTTGGACCTGAAAGTACAATGGAATAGTTATTCTCTTTTCACCATTTCTCTGTTTTCATCAACCATCCTTTATATTTCTTAAGACGTTATTCACCTCTTGCCCCCCCCCCCCCCCAAACAGATATCAAAAATAAGACATAAAACAAAAACTAAATTTAAAGTTTAACTTTTCAGTAGTAAACACATATATCAGATGATAACATTTTTGTGCTACAGTCCATATATTAACTAATTTCATCCATGAGAATGCTGAAATTTTTACTATACACAATGATCTTTACTACAAACTGAAAAAAATCAAACCAAGAAATAAATTAAAAGAATTGTATTCCAGGTAACTTCAAATCTGTGAATAATAAAGGCTGACAAGAGTTGACAAATCTTCACAGTGGAATGCCAAGGCTACTAATTAAACAAAACTAGTAAAGTCATGTGTCTATTTTGAGTTTTCAGCAGTGAAAAATTATTCATTCTTTTACCAGACACATCACCAGGGCCATCATACTGTGGAATCTCATCTTCCTCACTATCACTGCTGGTTTTCTCCACATTTTTCATATCACAGTCCTCATCCAAACTGTCAGCAAAAAATAAAGGATTATTGTCATTAAAAAAAAATCACATTTTCACAACCTCAACATATTAAAGATTCTACAAAATACTACAAAATAATCCAATACTCATGAATTTTTAAGGATACTTTCTAGGAATGAACAATATTTAATGAAAATTTATAGACCAGGTATCAAATTACCTTCATAAAATCATATCAAAAGATACAAAAGGAATGCCTGCATTGAATTAAATACATGATTTTATGCTCTCTGAGATGAGGGCTGCCTTGTTCATGATATAATACACCTGTGCACATGTGAATTAAATATAAAATGGCAGGCGCTTTGAACAAGAGGATAATTGCACTTGTATTTTGCATACAGGCTTGCCTGTATTTTCATACACTTCGGTGTGTTCATCCTTTTGTTCGAAGTGCCAGCTGTGGTATAAGTCAGTTACAACTACTCTTCGTCAACCGTATGCGACATACAAGGGCAAATTATATCTCGGCTGCGCCTTGATATAATTATACTCTTGTATGTCGCATACAGTGGACGACTCAAGTTGTAACTAGTACAAAAATCAGTGCAATGTACTGAAAACTAGAAACAACTGTTACCTCAATATTCTAATACGGTTTGTTTGTTGTCACTGACATAGTGAATTTTTTTCCAAAATACAGGCTGTTGGTTGTATAATCCCTGGTTGACATAGCATGACAGCACAAGGGAAGTCGCTGAGTTAGCTAATTTGGGGAGAAAGTTTACGCAATAATTTCTGGTTAAACTCAACCTTTTTTTTTTTTTAGACAGGGCTCATGAAGAAGTTTCTCAATTGCCACTCTTGTCATAACATGTCCTGTAATACAACATGTTAGGTTTCAAGGCAAAATGAGGAGGGATTCTGGGGTGGCAGGATGAAGAAGTCCTGATGGCAGATTCTTTCCATACTTACCTATCGCCTAATATCCTCTCTTGAGTCATCTCCTCCTGGAGTTCATTCCACACACTCTGAGACATCAAAATGCTGTCCTCGATATCCTTCTCCACATCCTCCCCCTCACCTCCATCCCGATCCTCCTCCTCCTCCTCAGTTTGAGGACCACCATGGAGAATGCTGTCTTGATCCTCCAAATTGTAAACCTGGGACTCCACTTGGGATGATATCGGAGAGCTGTCATCTGCCATTTTAGCCAAAATCTTAGCTAGCTCTTGGTCTTGAGATCCACCTAGATTATTTTTTAAAAAAGTATTATCACAGTGATAACAAAATGAATTTTCTAATCTTTATACTATGAGAACGAATATGTCATCCTTCAACAGGTAAAATGTCTAGCAAAAGACAGGCATAAAGACAAGCACACAGAAATACTGACATATAAATTATATAATAGACCCTGCATAATGTTATTTAAGAGCATCTATGATTTTAATCTGTCAGTAGATTTTTTTTTTTTTTTTGCATTTAAGAGTTGTGATTGGATCAAGCTGTATGACCATGTAAGACTACCTGCTGTTTTCCAGATATATTCATTTGTAAACAACACAACAAAGACAACAAATCTTTAATCAAATTTACATTCATGTAAGAAACTATTTGAAATCCTACAGGTTTGCTCACATCATATAGTAGTATTTGCTTAACTTTTTACAATCTATATACCTACATTGAAATTCACAATTAATTTGTAGTCTTAGTTTCTGAATCACAAAACACTTTTAATTGAAACTGGGACATCTTAAAAAATAGGTTGGGAAAATAGAAAGATTACAATATACAATGTAACTTATAGCCATCATTGAACAAAAGATCTTGCCAAGTTAAAACACATGATTTTACCTAAGCACTGGGAGTCTATTTCATCTGGAGACCCCTGAAAGCTTTGACTAAAAGACACCACCCTCTGTATACATTTTTCATCCACTACAGGTTCATCTGCATCTTCATCTCCAAGCAAAACTGTGTCAGCACTGGCACGGCTATTTTCTAAGGCAAAAAGTATTTTACATGAAAAGTAGTCTAAATGCATTTAGAAAATGTCCTTTTTAAAGTCCTATTTTCATGTCTAAATATCCTGCTTAGCTACCATGACCTTAAAACCTTGGTTACTACACTTTAGACCTATTAAAACGGGTGCTAGGTGAAAACAAAGCAAAAAGGGGAAATACACATACACGTACTGTAACCCCTTTGTTTTTTACAAACATCTTTATGGAATTCAGACAAAAATTCTGATAAAAAATTTCTGAAATAAAGAAATTTTGATCAACAAGGACAAATAATACAGGAGTTTCTTAAAAAAAAAACTCAAAAATGTTGTACCTTCAGACAAATGGAAGTCCACCACACTGGCTGGTGAACATGGGACACTACTCTCCACCACCTCCATGCTATTTTGAGAACCCTCAGAAGATTGAGATTGGGATTGCCTGAACAAAGAATTTCATAAATCATTAATAAATCTACCAGCATGTCTCAGTACTTGGATCCTTCTTATATTTTAGTTCAAAGAGATAAGATGCAGTTTAGATTCATCTCAAAATTACGCCACTCGAAAATATTAAGATGACCAAAAATCTGGCCATCACAACGTTATTAACTTAAGTCTGATCTTTTTAGAAAATTAGTACTGATTTTGTAACTAAAGAAACTGGGATGTTCATAGAGATCTACTTACACAATTGCCTGGTGTCTTCTTATGATATCCAGAAGTCTCTCGCGGAACATCTGATCACTCTCAGTGGGAGGGATGAAGCCTCTTTCTGTAAAAAAAAATCAAATAATAATAATAATAATAATAATAATAATAATAATAATAATAATAATAATAATAATAATAATAATAATAATGTATTTTGTGTTGGATGACTACACATAACTCGAGTCTTAGCCACTGATTGAGGGAACTGATTAAGCATTGCCAACTGGAAAAAAATTACAAATTTGAAATTCTTCACTGAATTACGTACAACAAAATGTTAAAAATTTCAGACATTTGAACAGCATTAGCTGGAAGCTTTGTCCAATATTTTGGAGAGTGTTTAAAAGTTCTCACCTTGGGACTCAGGTGGTGAAATATTTGACGTATCTCCTTTTTCTTTTCTTCTCTGTTTTTCATCTTCCCAGAGAGCCACTAGCCCAGGGTTAGCACCAAGATTGGCTGAATATAAATAAATTAATAAATAAATAAATAAATAAATAAATAAATAAATAAATAAATAAATAAATAAATAAACTGATCAAAAATATAAATGCACTAAACTAAAATGGTCAGTTGAAATGGATAATCATGAAATATGCCCAGGTTGATGGTTTATTTGTGAATTGATGGATTTGTTTTGATCAAGTATAGTGGTCTAGTTTCACTTGGTCTCTCCCCATGAGTATACTCAGAGGTTCAGTTTTTCCACCCATAAGACTAATGGAGCATGACGGAGTGGAGGTCAATCTGTATGACCAATACACACAAACACTCCTTACAGTCTAGGCAATAAAAGGGCACACCAAAATGTGCATTTCTGTCACTTGTCAACATGCCACTGATGTTCGAAATCATGAGGGAGCGTGCCATCCGCTTGTTCAATGCTGGCTTGTTGGTAACAGAAGTTGCAGCATGCCTGAATGTGCATCATTCCACTGTCAGCCGTCTGAGAAGCTTCAGAGACACTGGTAGCACTAGGAACCGCCCACATTCCTGCTGACCACGTGTTACCACACCCAATATGTCGTCCATTGAACACCTGTGGGAAGTTCTGGATCAGCGTTTTTGCCATCATGTTCTTGCTCCCGAGAATGTTCACCAACTACAAGTTGCACTCCAGGAGGAATGGGATAATATCCTTCAGTCCACTATTGACAACTTAGTGATGCCCATGTGCTGACAGTGTACTGCTCTGTGCAAAGCTAACGGTGGCCATACTCATTAATAGTGTCTGTGAACTATGATGTTGACCCCATGGTGTAGCTGATGCCCTAACTCTTAGGCTATGCATTTAAACTTCCTGCAATGCTCTCAAAGTGATGTCTATTTGTTGAGAAAAATTTGCTGTAACTTATGTTGGCCATATACTTTAGTTACATACATGAAAATAAATCAACATATTCTTTTGTGCGTTTATATTTTTGTTCAGTGTAGTTTGGTGCATTTATATTTTCAGTGTAAATAAATAATATTCCTCACATCTCAAAATGAACACAAGAAGTCAACACCCCTTTAACTTAGGTAATCTCACATAAACAATATAACAGCAATAAAATATTATAAATTACTGTTTGGCTGTAGATGCATAAAATATCACTCCTTATCCACAAAGTAAGAAATTTATTTCTTCATATCTTATATACAATGAAAAAAACCTACCATCAACCTCCATCCTGTTCATAATGTCTGCTGCTACTGCATCGACCTCCAGCTCGCACGTACTTTGTCTCTCCACCTCAGCACCAAGAAGCATGTCCCTGCAAATACAGACACAAAAATAATAAATAAATAAATAAATAAATTTACTTAGAAAAAATTGCCTCTGAAATTGAAGTATCACACACAAAACTCATATCCAAATGACCAGAACTGAAGCAATGATTAGTCTATAAATCTAGCATCCAAAAAGGAGATAAGAATTTCAACATAGTTTACCATTTTAGGTACAAACATAGTCATGCAACAAAATGAATTTTACAGTTAGACCTGGCAGAATTGTTAATCAAACAACCTATGATGGTTACAACAAATTCAGGGAGAAGTTGAAGTAGTGGAGGATAGGGGAGGATAGAAAGAGGCCTGGCAGACCAAAGTTAGCTTGGAAGGACGTGGTGAGAAGAGACAGGGAAGCGCTTGGTCTAGTCTGCGAGGACCCTCAGGATAGATCAAGTTGGAGAGGAAGACTGCGTGTCAGACTGGCCCCACCCTCTGTTGAGGATTAATCCCGGCCAGTATAATATAAATTCGGATGATGATGATGTTCAAGTAAAGAAGTTGGGAGATCACATACCCTATCAGATATAATATAGAATTTTAGAATTGACTTACTCCGCTATGTTTTCTGCATCCCATATGTTCTGACTTGAATGAAGGCTGCTTTTATTGCTATCATTCAGTAAAGCTGCTGTAGGTGAAAGGTCATCAGACCTCTTAACTTCAGGGCCCCTGGGCCCATCTGCAAAAACATCATTATTTTCAAAAATAAAATAAAATAATTCAATCAATCAATGACAGTACATAAGCTCTGTAATATTTGAAAAATTTAACCTTAAGGAAATTATGCATAAAATTTTAGATTACCATATCATTAGGCTATTTTCTAAATTTAATTTAAATAAAAAACATAATGAATTACCAGCTTGTTGTTGACTTCTTCTGAACTTCACGGCTGACAAATGGATCAAGTTCATGCCATACAAGTTGTAATCAATGAAGAACTGAAATGATAAAATTCAAATAAAAAGGTCAATACAATATTTGTAGAAGAATATATTACCCTTTTTTAAAATAATCAATAGCTGAATACTTTAATCCCTTTTTGTTATTATAATTGCACCACACTGAATTCAAATAAACCAGGTCAATGGGCTAATAAAGCAGTTGCTAGTCAATTATTATCGTGCGTGGGTGTGAGCACAAGTGTACTTGCATGACAGTTTATTTTCCGTTTTGTTTGATGCATATAAAACAAAATTGTCAGGACACACTGTTTATATTCAGTGGTAATATATAATACTGTGACAAAAAGGCCTCAAAATTTTTTTCATCCTAAAGGTAGATAAAAAATCAAAAACAAACAGAGTGAATTGATTAAACAGCAATTTTTTTAACAGGTTTGATTTTGGGTTTGTGGATATATAAGAAGAACAGAAATTCACAAAAAAATCTGTAAGGGATAAGCATAACATTGCACCAGTTTTCATATCAATAATTTTTAAAAATGAAAAATACTTGACAGATGAAAATGCATGATATTTGGCTGAAAAACTGGGTTAAAAGGTAAATCATCATTATGTGGCTTTTAACCAAATATCGATGAAAGAGAATTGCATAGGAAATGACTTTATTCAGACTGTATATTATTCTACAAAGAAAATATGCTACAATATTGCAGCATGAATAAATTAGAGGCAAACTAAACATACCATCACAATGTGTGGCATAGCAAACAGCACTGCGCAAAAATATGTATAGTATTGTGATATATATATATATATATATATATATATATATATATATATATATATATATATATATATATATATATATATATATATATATATATCACAATACATAGATTTGAAGATACGATTATGTAAAATAAAAAAACATATTTCAGCGACCAAGACCTGATCATATAATTCTTAAAATTTCATATGAAATATCCTAAAGGGAAACATTTCCTGGAGACAAAAGTGACAAAGAGTTTTGTTGTTATTGTCACTAATAAAACCTGTAAATAAATATGTAAATACCTGCAGGTTAAATGGAATGTGTGTCTCATGAGGCTGGAAGGGTTTATTCAATATGGCTCCCCCTTGGAGCAAATCTGCTACCCTGGAAAATTGGGAAATTGCACAATTATAACAATATTCATAGGAACTATCAGTTAATAGGCATACTAGGACCAGTGAAAAATTGAATGTAAAACTGAATGATATCTAGAGAACACTTAATTAAGGTGGTGGAAAAGAAAGACAAAATGCAAACTTATAAATTTGATCAACACCATCATAATAAAATGTAGAATCAACAAAACTTGTACAATACAATATCACTAACAAAATAGAGCATAATGATGTTCAAGCTTATATGATATATAATTTACAAATGGCATTTCAATAATTTACTTTGTGGAACAGTTGAGATATCAATCAACTGAATGAGACAAATGTTATATCATGTTACGTATAATATATATAGAGAGAGTCATCATCATGCAACTGCTACCTGAAAGCAACTTTTATATAAAAGGAAAAGCAAGATTGAACAAATGTATTGTGATCTGTGAAATACAGTTTTATCAGGAAGAACTCAAATAAAACGAAATTTAAGGGCAAGTAAATTACAAATTTAACCTTGCCTCTGTATCTATTTTTAACTCAAAATCTAAGTGATTTCAAAAATATACCACCAACTTATTTTTTCCATCAACCAGCATTCGACATGCAATCATCATCAAAGCTTATGCTTTAAGAGCCTTACAGACATTTTTTTCCTAATAAAAATTGTTTCAAAAAATCAATTATGTGGAAGCTCTTCCATTAGGTTAAAAAATCTACATTAAAAAAAAAAATTAATCTTAACCTGAACACAGCTCATTCAAACATCTGAAACTAGTGCCAACAGAACATAATCACAACTTTAGGAGGTGGCTGAAGATTAATTTCTTTTTTACTGTATAAAAAGGTTTAGATTCATAAAGCTGAAAATGATAATTTACGAAAAAAATTACTCCAAAAGACCTTGGCCTTAAGAAGATCAACATTTTGTTACATGTAGAATTGTTTTCTGAATGTCATTCAACTTACTTCTTTACCATATTAGGACTGTAAAGGTATATCTTCAGAAATAACTCCTCTTTGGGATGAAAACCATAGAATGGTCTGAAATCAGATATATTCAATCACTTGCGACTGCAACATTCCCAAGTGGCTTAAGGCATTGTTTATGCAGAAAATATAGAACATTAAAACTAATAAAAATTGCATTCACTGATGTGATATGTTTGAAATAATTTTCTCCATATATGACAAGTCAGAACAAGTATATTTGATAGCTTGAGCATGTAACTATATCCAGTGTGCTTACAAAAAAATACCCCCCAGCAACTACCACGGCATTTCTTAATAATGGCTTTTTAGGGAGAAAAAATACAAAACACACACACAGAAAAATACATACATGGCAGAAACCAATGACACTTTATATACATGGTGCTTGGCTGAACTAGCATTTCCTAAGGCCACATTTACTGCCCGATCTATACTCGATGCCACCTGCTTCAGGTAGCGGTCCACAGGTTGGGAGCCATCATAACGCACATACAAGTAGGGAAACAGACCATGAACATGCATACAGCATTTCTGTCCTGAAAAACAAAAGTGGCATATTAAATGAAATTTATCACTGTAAGTTCAAGTGTGGTGAACTTGGGATCAAGTATATGTGTTAAGTTTTTTTTTTCTCACTAGGCATTTTTGGTGGTCTCTTATGCAGACCCTGATAGAAATGTAATGTGTGTGGAAAGCAAAAGTTGGTGGGAAGAATTACAATTGCCAGTAGTCATGACACCCGCTTATTTAGACCCCTTTCCTTATCAGATATACCAAACCACATATAAAGGGGTCTATTTTTACTTATTATCCCAGCACTTTGGGGCCAAAAGTCAGGGATAATGTTATCCCATCAGTCCATGAGTCCCTATATCTGTGCATTTATAATTTCTGCCATCTCCTCCTCTATGTGCATAGGCACTCAAGAATTTTTCGTGCAACTGTGGGTTGGGCTGTTCCTGTAAGGTGGTTGATTCTCAATTCTTTTTACATTGTAATTTCTGGCAGGCCCGTAGCCAGCAATTTCAAAATGGGGGTTCTTTTTCTGAAAATGTGGACCATTTACAATGAAACCTTTGTGTACCTATATCAAATTTTACCTATAATGAACCTTTTCCTGACAAAAAGGGTGGTTCTTTTGAACCCCCCAAATCCCCCTGGCTATGTCTGGTAACTCCTCCTAGACCATTATTATCAGGAAGTTCAGTCATTTGGTATTGGCAGACCTTACAGTACAGATGGAATATGGGCCCCTTGGGGTTGGACTGTCTTAGGAGGTGGATGATTCTGTTTATATCACACACAGGAATTTCTGCTTTCTCCTCATAGACCATTAGAGTGAGGAAGAGAAATGATAGACCTATTATGCATATATAGGCAGTTTGGGATTTTAGTCTGCCTTTGGGCAGGGCTCTTGCTGGGGTTGGACACTGTTATTTTAGCTATCTCCTTTTAGAGTGAGGAAGTTAAAACATTTTGGGATTGATTGACCTTTTATGAGGATGGGCCAGTCATTATTCATATGGGCATGAGGGGTTGGGCTGTCCCTCGGAGATAGGAGCAGGATGGATGATCCTCTTTCACATTTAACATTTTCACCAATTCTTTTTTTATGATGTTATTATGAAGATTATTTGCAACAAAATATACATAGACTAGGTTCCCAAGGATTTAGATCGATCCATCTGGATCGACTTAACTCCCTGGGGGTTCATGCTAAATTGCTGTCAGCTTCCAGGAGCCGAGCATGCACATAAGTTAATTACCCCCTTACAGCTTTTAGTAGGCGGGACAGACATTTAAGCCGGTTACACTGAAAGCAATCTGGTGAGACTCTCCAGGGGGATAGATCGATTAAAAGTCTGTGGGAATGGTCTCATATACGATCCAGGCATTGTACTAGATATCAAGGGAATTCCCAGGAGTGTAAGCTGCTCTGTACAATGTGGGGAAGTGTGGAGATATGCAATGGCTACCTATCCACACCATCTAGTTTCTCTTGCTGTAGTTAACATCCATTTTTGAAAATTAGATGCCATATTTTTTACACATGTACATCTGGCACTTCTGGTAATATTATGCAAAAACAGGATCATATTATTAAGATTATAATATGTATCACAATGATAAAACTTCATGCATGAATTCGGACAAATGAGGTTTTGTATGTCCCATTATTATGTACTTGATTATAAACACTGCCTATGACAATGCATATAATATTTCAGGTTAACATAGGTAAGATCTCTCTTATTCTCATTGTCAACTTTTATTTCATTTTTCATAAAATAGCATTATATTCACATGCTCTTTGTCTTGGTAACATGGATACTAATATGTCTCTACAGGTAAATTTTCCCAGGCCATTACAAACAGGATTGATTTGCTAATAAATGTCACATCTTTCTGCAATGAACCTGGGTATTTGCTGTCAATATTTGTTTTGAGGGAAATGGGTCCCCATAACTTGTGCCACCTAATTAAAGATTTCTAACTACAGAAAGCCTATCTAATCTGCAATTTGTCCCATGCACTATTACCGTACATCTTACATTTGTTGTGCTGTTTTCAGAAAATGTAACTTTTAATAGATTTTTGTGCATTTGAAAAATGCATGTCCATTATACAAATATATGTACCATGGGATGTCCCTTCTATACTTTTGTAGATCAAAAACGTTATACATGATCATAATAGAAGTCCTTAGTCCAACTTCCAAAGCCGGTGGTTTTTTATGATCATTGCTGCCACTGATTACTTATCTTATTTTTTGTCAGATTATTTTTAAATTGTGTTGAAAATATTTCAAAGATAATATTCTCTGTGTCAAACCTTTTAACCATACCCTAAAAGCAAATGGGGCAATTCTCAACCATGCAAGTTTAAAAATCTGTTGACATTGCCTTCATTAGGCTGTTTTAATTCTCAAACACTCAGGGTAAGATTTATAGAGGAAGGGAATGATATGGATAACCTTGAATTAAATAGGCCAAGTTAAATATAGAAAAACTGTCAAACTTACCAGCAGGTGTGGATCCATATATCCTTATCACGGGCACAAATTTGGTCTCGGTCCCACTGAAGTCGGAGTGGCAGACATCTAAACCAGGAATGGGAACAGCTTGATAGGCGTCAGTGGTTACAATTCTCAGAGAGAACATTGCGTTCCTGTGGTTATAATCCATCCATATTTATTTTCATCTCTGTGAAAAAAATAATAAATATATAAATCTATATGCACTCATTACTATATTTCCCATTTACTTGTATCAGTTTTATGTTTACAAGCCTTGAAGGGAGTAACATAAAGCCTTTCAGGCAATTTATAGATCAGTTTACTAGCTTTCAATGCTGTCGCTGTCCGAAACATAAAAAAAAAACAAAAATATCACAAAGAGTATCACCAATAAAGCAAACACACATTGCCATCATCCAAGGCATTTAGAAAAAAAAATCCAGATCAATTTATTACAGCATGTGACAACACTGTAACATTCAGTCTACCTCATAAATTTTCCATTACAGCAGTCTCCTGCTCAAATACTAATAATTCATTCCGAGTCATTCAAGGCATTATTAGCAACATGAAAATAGTTTAACACATGTACAGTGGGTAGAAGGTTGGTATTTTATCTTCCCCATCCACCACAGTATAAGTCAGATACACCCCTTGTCAGCAAGATATTTGTGATATCCATTTAATCCTCGCATGTATTACAACCCGATTCTTTGAGTATCTATTACAAATTTTACACAAACTGCAGTTATTATCCATGTTGAAATGCGGTTTCACATTCAGCCAAGACACTAATTGCATATAAATATTATATTGTGTTCTCACAACTCCGCAAAGTATACATCATGGATAACCAGCCTAGAACAGCAAAACACTTATAACAAGAAACTGACATCAGGCATAAGCCAGAGAGTAAACATATGACAGGGTAATGATACAGATAATTGTTGTCTCTTTACTGTCACAGGTCATTTAATCAATAACGCAGGACTGTCAAACATCCGTTTTATGCGTCATATATGTGCAGACTTCCTCTTGTACAATTCATGATAAGGCATCCTGCAGACCTGCACCTGTAATATGTGCCTGCACTATTTGAAATCAATGAAGTAAAAGCAAAACTAGGCACAGAGAAATATAGTCAAGCTTTCAGTCCATGAATACATGTAAACAGATATAATGTATTTGAACAAGATAACTGAATTAAAGATGGTAACTCGATGAATTTCAGTTAAAGTAGTTTGAACTAATTAGGAGAGACAAAATCCATACATGTCATGTACAAGCAACTGAAAAAATATAATTTATTGTTATTTTATGCTTTCATCTTTATAAAACTCCTGGTTGCACTTTCCCTTCCTAAACACAAACACTGTTAAATAATGCTATAAAGTGGAATTCATGTGAAAATGTGAAATTGGCTTGTTCAGATCCTCTCTTTTGGCACAGCAATTTATAGACACAGACATGTGGTATGTGTGTATCCATGGCTTGCTTAGAGCATGTGACTTCTCCCACCAAGCCACTCCAATTTAACTTGTACTGCCTACAAATGACATGCTATTGGATCACTAGCACAAATTTTCATGTAAAAGAACTTTTTTATGACCATAAAAAAGTGTTAATGCATGGTACTTTTTGCTAATAGATCTCTTGCCAGTCTTTTTTTTTTTAAGTTCTGTTTAATGTATATGAGCCACGTGCAATCTGTACTTATTTACTTCATAGTTAAGTTGTGTTGTCCTCTTTTTTTTCTATATTGTCTATGTATTGATAATATATGTATTTTTTGGTTGTCTCAATACATATTCTCTCAACTATGCTTCTCTTCATGAGCAGAGGGGCTTATCTACTTTTCTCAAAGATCTGTTTTTAAATATGTGACTACACATTGTCAACATACAAAAATGAAAATTTTACAATGTTATAAGAGTAAAATGGTGCCCAAAGCCCTGCCACAGTTTGGAGCAGTCTCCACTGGATGATAAGATGATTTTTCATAGAATTTTAGAATAGTTTTGCTTTAATATACATTTCTACATAATAACTTCAAAATGATTTCAAATTGAGTAAAAGGATACACTATCAACTTATAACTTACTGCATGACTTCAAGTCTCAATCTCCATTCACTCTACTTGTAGACATAGAAAGAAGTAAAATTAATAAAAAAAATACCTACAGTCTTTATTTAAAATTGGGAACATCACATAGATTGTCTTTAAGCACACTCATAAGGCATTGATGTCACATCAATATGTCTAGCTTTACAGACATTTTACTATACCCTTTTCAGTGCCTCCCCCCCCCCCCNTGCAAAGAATCAAGAGAAAACTTAACACATTATTTTACGTAGTCACTCGTAGGAGACGCCATGCTTTCTTTGTGTACGGTTATGCACTCGGAACTACTCGGACGTCTCCGCACTCGACAATAACTTTGTTGTTAGTATGGAGCTTGCGGAATCAGCCGAAGATTGCCGATTGACGGTCAACCAATCAGCGTTTTCACCAAACTTTGGTGAAAAATTTTTAAACTTGGATTCGATTGGCTTATATAAACTAGGTCAAACTATTTTCGTCAGAGGTAACTTGACACGATGAAGATAGGCTATAGTGAAGAGGTTAGTGTCAAGTTATCTCTGAAGCTCAGGGTGCTTTTAGTAGGCGTGACAGACATTTAAGCCGGTTAGACTGAAAGCAATCTAGTGAGACTCCCCAGGGGGATAGATCGATTAAATGTCTGTGGGAATGGTCTCATATACGACCCAGGCATTGTACTAGATATCAAGGGAATTCCCAGGAGTGTAAGCTGCCCTGTACAATGTGGGGAAGTGTGGAGATATGCAATGGCTACCCATCCACACCATCTAGTTTCTCTTGCTGTATTAACATCCATTTTTGAAATTTAGATGCCATATTTTTTATACATGTACATCTGGCACTTCTGGTAATATTATGCAAAAACAGGATCATATTATTAAGATTATAATATGTATCACAATGATAAAACTTCATGCATGAATTTGGACAAATGAGGTTTTGTATGTCCCATTATTATGTACTTGATTATATACACTGCCCATGACAATGCATATAATATTTCAGGTTAACATAGGTAAGATCTCTCTTATTCTCATTGTCAACTTTTATTTCATTTTTCATAAAATAGCATTATATTCACATGCTCTTTGTCTGGGTAACATGGATACTAATATGTCTCTACAGGTAAAATTTCCCAGGCCATTACAAACAGGATTGATTTGCTAATAGATGTCACATCTTTCTGCAATGAACCTGGGTATTTGCTGTCAATATTTGTTTTGAGGGAAATGGGTCCCCATAACTTGTGCCACCTAATTAAAGATTTCTAACCATAGAAAGCCTATCAAATCTGCAACTTGTCCCACCCACTGTTACCGTACATCTCACATTTGTTGTGCTGTTTTCAGAAAATGTAACTTTTGATAGATTTTTGTGCATTTGAAAAATGCATGTCCATTATACAAATATATGTACCATGGGATGTCCCTTCTATACTTTTGTAGATCAAAAACGTTATACATGATCATAATAGAAGTCCTTAGTCCAACTTCCAAAGCCGGTGGTTTTTTATGATCATTGCTGCCACTGATTACTTATCTTATTTTTTGTCAGATTATTTTTAAATTGTGTTGAAAATACTTCAAAGATAATATTCTCTGTGTCAAACCTTTTAACCATACCCTAAAAAGCAAATATGGCAATTCTCAACCATGCAAGTTAAAAAATCTGTTGACATTGCCTTCATTAGGCTGTTTTAATTCTCAAACACTCAGGTTAAGATTTATAGAGGAAGGGAATGATATGGATAACCTTGAATTAAATAGGCCAAGTTAAATATAGAAAAAGTGTCGAACTTACCAGCAGGTGTGGATCCATATATCCTTATCACGGGCACAAATTTGGTCTCAGTCCCACTGAAGTCAGAGTGGCAGACATCTAAACCAGGAATGGGAACAGCTTGATAGGCGTCAGTAGTTACAATTCTCAGAGAGAACATTGCGTTCCTGTGGTTATAATCCATCCATATTTATTTTCATCTCTGTGAAAAAAATAATAAATATATAAATCTATATGCATTCATTACTATATTTCCCATTTACTTGTATCAGTTTTATGTTTACAAGCCTTGAAGGGAGTAACATAAAGCCTTTCATGCAATTTATAGATCAGTTTACTAGCTTTCAATGCTGTCGCTGTCCGAAACATAAAAAAAAAACAAAAATATCACAAAGAGTATCACCAATAAAGCAAACACACACTGCCATCATCCAAGGCATTTAGAAAAAAAAAATCCAGATCAATTTATTACAGCATGTGACAACACTGTAACATTCAGTCTACCTCATAAATTTTCCATTACAGCAGTCTCCTGCTCAAATACTAATAATTCATTCTGAGTCATTCAAGGCATTATTAGCAACATGAAAATAGTTTAACACATGTACAGTGGGTAGAAGGTTGGTATTTTATCTTCCCCATCCACCGCAGTATAAGTCAGATATGCACCCCTTGTCAGCAAGGTATTTGTGATATCCATTTAATCCTCGCATGTATTACAACCTGATTCTTTGAGTATCTATTACAAATTTTACACAAACTGCATTTATTATCCATGTTGAAATGCGGTTTCACATTCAGCCAAGACACTAATTGCATATAAATATTACATTGTGTTCTCACGACTCCGCAACTACAAATATCAAATTTACATCATGGATAACCAGCCTAGAACAGCAAAACACTTATAACAAGAAACTGTCATCAGGCATAAGCCAGAGAGTAAACATATGACAGGGTAATGATACAGATAATTGTTGTCTCTTTACTGTCACGGGTCATTTAATCAATAACGCAGGACTGTCAAACATCCGTTTTATGCGTCATATATGTGCAGACTTCCTCTTGTACAATTCACGATAAGGCATCCTGCAGACTTGCACGTGTAATATGTGCCTGCACTATTTGAAATCAATGAAGTAAAAGCAAAACTAGGCATAGAGAAATATAGTCAAGCTTTCAGTCCATGAATATATGTAAACAGATATAATGTATTTGAACAAGATAACTGAATAAAGATGGTAACTCGATGAATTTCAGTTAAAGTAGTTTGAACTAATGAGAAGGAGAGACAAAATCCATGCATATCAGAGGTACAAGCAACTGAAAAAATATAATTTATTGTTATTTTATGCTTTCATCTTTATAAAGCTCCTGGTTTCACTTTCCCTTCCTAAACAAGAACACTGTAAAATAATGCTTCAAAGTGGAATCCATGTGAAAATGGGAACTTTGCTTGTTTAGATCCACTCTCTTTTGGCACAACAATTTATAGACACAGACATGTGGTATGTGTGTATCCATGGCTGGCTTAGAGCATGTGACTTCTCCCACCAATCCACTCCAATTTAACTTGTACTGCCTACAAATGACATGCTATTGGATCACTAGCACAAATTTTCATGTAAAAGAACTTTTTAATGACCATAAAAAAAGAGTGTTAACGCATGGTACTTTTTGCTAATAGATCTCTTGCCAGTTTTTTTTTTTTTTTTATTTCTGTCTTATGTATATGAGCCACGTGCAATCTGTACTTATTTACTTCATAGTTTAGTTGCGTTGTCCCCTTCTATATTGTCTATGTATTGATAATATATGTATTTTTTGGTTGTTTCAATACATATTCTCTCAACTCTGCTTCTCTTCATGAGCAGAGGGCCCTATCTACTTTTCTCATAGATCTATTTTTAAATGCGACTACACAGTGTCACCATACAAAAATGAAAATTTTACAATGTTATAAGAGTAAAATTGTGCCCAAAGCCCTGCCACTGGATAATAAGATGATTTTTCAGTTAGAATAGTTTTGCTTTAATATACTTTTCTACATAATAACTTCAAAATGATTTCAAATTGAGTAAAAGGATACACTACCAACTTATAACTTACTGCATGACTTCAAGTCTCAATCTCCATTCACTCTACTTGTAGACATAGAAAGAAGTAAAATTAATAAAAAAATACCTACAGTCTTTATTTAAAATTGGGAACATCACATAGATTGTCTTTAAGCACACTCATAAGGCATTGATGTCACATCAATATGTCTAGCTTTACAGACATTTTACCAAACCCTTTTCAGTGCCCCCCCCCATTACAGCATATGAGGTCACAGGCAAACACAGTCACAAATCTGACAGTACACATGGGTGCTCAGGTTTTCTTCAACATTACTGTAATTTTGCCACTGACCTCCATAGGATTGTATGGGTATAAGTTGTACCTGAAAGCCATAGATAAAATATTATATAGGTTCAAAAGGTATGCAAGGTGCATGACACAAGAGCTCTAGTATGATCTATTATTTGTATCTTGCCCTGGTTGCACCAGTGACCTGGATACCTCAACAACTAGACCATGAAGATGATGCACGTTTCAATGTGGTAAACTCAAAAACCGAAACAAGTTAATGGCATTTTGAGCCTTTTATAAAAAGCATGCGCTTATTTGAAATAATTCTTAGTACTATGATTTGCATCAACTTAAATGGGTATATAGTCTTGTCAAGTTACACATGCATCTTCTTTTACAAAAGATGCACAATGCACTTTTAGTAAGATCAAGGTTTAATCTTCACTACAGTTGCTTGAATTGCCATAACCCCTTATATCTACTTACTATATCTACTTAAATCTCAATTTGAATTAATTTTGGAAAATCCCATTATATCTGCTGCTGTTGGTAATTTTTCTAACTAATTTGAATTGACTGTGGCAGACTTTGACTACTGAGTTCATACTGTACTGCAACCAATCTGAGGAATGAAGTTTTATTTATGAACGCATAGTTAAGGTGTGAGTTAAGTTTCACAAATACACGGAGGTCAAAAGTCAATCTAAAAGTTTTGGACTGAAAATGATCCGTCTTTTCCACTTCATGATAAACCTGCAATAGTACACTTTATAAAGTATTTATTTTATCATTTTTTTTTTAATATAAAAGGCATTACTTCTTTAACTGATGTTAAATACTCTTTCAAACATTATGCTGGAGAATTTTTTTTCAAAACAATCATCTGCTACATCATAACCAGAAAAAAAATCATGACCTGGTTTGCACTGGTAAATCAGGTAGTATGAATAAAACAACAAAAGAGATTAATATTATACATTATCCTCAAAAACAATTTTGTGACCTTCATTTTGCTTTGGCACAATTTGTCATTTTGTTTATACAGTAAACAACTCTATGTACATCAAGTGAGACAAATTTGTAACATTTTCTCCTTGAAGTGAGTGAGTAAAATTTAATCTGCATGCAAAAGCATGATAGCTTTGGTGTAATTTTTATTCCACAGATGCTTCTAAATAGCCATTTTCTGCCTACGTTTGGTCAAAAAACAAATCTATATCATTGCAATGGAATAGTATAAGTCAGAGGCCATACACTTATCTGCATTTCAGTTGAATAATTACTTTCCCCTCCTAAATACTGTGAAAGTTTGAGCATGTTAAAAAAAATTTAGAGCCAACATTGAACTCAATATGTGACAAATGAGCCAACAAAACTTTGTGGAAGCTTTTCATATTTCAATAATCTAAGGCTCTATTCCCACAACTTTAGATCGATCTATCACCGCGGGGAGTCTCACTAGATTACTGTCAGATAATCCCCCTTAAGTGTCCGTCCCCGCCTACTACAAGCTGTAAGGGGTAATTAATTTTTCGTGTCCGCCCGGCTGACAGCTATTTAGCGTGAACCCCCAGGGAGTTAGGTCGATCTAAAATTGGGCGATCTAAAATAGGTCGATCTAATCTATGGAAATGGGGTGTAAGTGAGTCATTTTTTTTAATTCAGTTGAAAACAATTGATCTCAACCTTTTTGTTCATTTTTTAAAACATGCATATTAGAGGTTCAGGTTTTTATTTTCAAATCTACTGCTGGACAGAAAAAATAATAATTTTAAGCAACAGGTGAAAAGCCACCCAGCCATCCAGGCCAAAGTCTGCCCCTGTTGCTGCCGTGATGTGCATTTCAGCCAGTTCATCTTCAACCCAGCCTGTAAGATCTTTATCGGCACCTTCAATGCAGCAAAATACGGAAAAGGATGACAAAATTTTAACAATTGAAATACCCTCTGTTATTGAGAAAGTTGTAATAATAAAAAAAGGCAAAAAAAAAAAAAAAAATTTTTTTGAATACTTGTTTTTTCCTTTCTTCTTTCATAAATGGTGATAAAGGCGCAATCCCCAATTAGCTTGTTTTCAGGTGTGATTATGGCTCTGCTTCGGTGAGTAGTATTTATGTGCAGTAGCGTGTTATAACGTGCGGTAATCCGAGTTGCACAACATCTGAGTCTTTTGTTCTCAGCTTCCACTGTGGTCTATGTCATTTTACATTGTGTTAGGAACTGTTATGTATAGCATAATAATGTGTGAGTGAAAAATATACCTATCTTTATCTTTAATACAGATGAGTTAACACATTTAAAACAGTCCTTTCAAAATTCAATGGCTTTTCGTTGCTTCTGGGAATGGATAGATGAGAAGTTCAGGTATATGAAGTCACTGGGAAGTTTACATTTGCACAATATCCAGGCAAGGTGCGAGTCTAAATGGAATATGTAGATCTGTACGTTACCATTTTAACAGCACATAGAAGTTAAATAAATAGAGATGACAACTCTACAGCCAAATTACTAACATATTGGAAACAAACAATGACAACAACACAATGATTCTTCTTTTGAATTTTTAAAATCAGTCTTTTATTTCATGACTGACCGATAAAATAAGGTAACACTTCACTTTTTCTGCTTTGAAGAAAAAAAAAAACATACTGAACAGATCCTGCTGACATATATCATAAAAAAGATATAGAAAATTAACACATTTACCATCACTTCACATGTCATCAAAATAAATTATATATCCCCTCTATGAAAGCTGAGAACACTGTTCCCATAAGAATGATGTGATTTTTTCTTCAGTCAACAGCTAATATTGAGATAGGTTTTACCTCCAATATTTCGATGTCTATCAGGACATCTTCTTCAGGGAAAGAGGCTATCCAGGTGAATAGCCTCTACTCAGGAGGTGTACTTGC